CGTCCCTTGAAAGTTGAAGATTTAGTGTTACGGAAAATGGAGGCAACCGGTAGGGCCAATGAGTTGGGAAATCTAACACTAAATTGGGAAGGACCCTACAGGATCTATGAAGAAGTAAGAGACGGCACCTACCGCCTGGAAACTCCAGACGGTAGACGCCTGCCCAGAACTTGGAATGTAGACAACTTGAAAAAGTACTACTTCTGAGAATGTATGTTTTTTGTAAACAGTGAGTCAATTAATGAGAATTCAGACTTTGTTTGCGAAATTGTTTTGATTATTCGCCTAGGTAATACTCAGACGAATTCTTCATTTACCTAATTAAGTTTGATACTTAGTAAAGGTTACATTTGTTTGACCGCCTGGGTAATACTCAGACGGATCCTTTGTTTATTTAACTAAGTTTAATACTTGGTATGACTTAATAATTGTCTGTCCGTCTGGGTAATACCCAGACAGGCTTATTTGTTTAAAATAACTAAGTTCGACACTTAGTGTAAATTTAATGTTGTGACAATGATCCGATTAAAAGCTAATCATAAAAACGCTTAGTGGCTATTCAACCGGTCCTAAACAAGACCAAAGGCTAAAACAGCCGGCTGGTTGCTTATTTTATAAAACCGCCTGTCCCAACATGGACAAAGGCGTCCGGCGACACCTCTTCGGGTGCAATCGTCGCAGAGAACAGACTATTTGTCAGTTCTACGTACCTATGCAGACGGTAAAAATTGAATGACCGAATTGGTCAACTCATAGCCGTCTGACCAGAATGATCTGTGAAGAACGACCAAGTTATTGAATACCGGATGCCCCTAGGCATCAGTTGGTCACCGGCTGAAGTTCTCACTTGGGTTATTTATTCCAAAGTTTCACTTTCTATCCCAATTGGGGCAAAGGAGGTGTGCAATGGCTATGCAATCTTTACCAAGACGGAAAAAAACAGTTTGGGTAGTGACTGGAACGCCTGTTGGTGTACGGCTATGCACTTGGTTTAGGGCAATCACTACTGTGATTGATTGACTTACAAACGTATCATGCTCTTTGCAGCATCAGACGTTCCCAAGTCAATCAACCAACTCCATTTGAAACCAACCATATAGCCGTCCAGGGGCAAGATTAGCCGGCTTTTGATAAGTTAGGCAAAATATTGCCGCATGCTTTTGATAAATTAGGCAAAAATCAGGCATATACGCAAAAATGCAAAAATTAAAATCCAAAAATGATCAAAACCGACTCCGTCGGTGCATTCATTAAAAGTTCACCCAACCAAACGGTTGTAGTGGATCAAATGTTAACCGGACCCCGTCCAGAAGAAAAGAGATATTGTTGATTAACCCGACTCCTCAGCCGGTAAATACAAGGATACTCGGCACGCAGGCCGGAAAAGCAAAGCTAAAATAAAAAAGAGTTGGCATACTGCCGCTGAAAAATCACTTCTGGCCTGCAAGCGGCTCCTCCTGGTCCTCTTCCTCATCATCCGAGGGAATCTCTTGTGCTTCACCTAGACCGGGTAGCTCAGGCGCGGGAAGCTCAATGTTGGCGTTAGCCCAGGCGTCAAAGGACTCAGGCTCTGGCTCACCTTTCTCTCTCAAGTACACCACGTCCTCGGCGTACCTGTGAGCCAGTGCCCAGATGCCATAATCCTTGTCTGGGTACAAGGTAGCCCAGGCGCCTTTATGAGCGCCTCGTCAGCCTTCTTGAGACCCTCATCTACCTTTTTCTGGGCCTCCTCCGCCTTCTTCTGAGTCGTCTCAGCGTTGCTCACCCGCTGGTTGGCCGTCTTCAGATCCGCCTCCAGCTGCTGGATTTTCGACGTCTGTGTCATTGTGATTGCTTTAGTTTCAAGTTCATTTACGATAGTGGAGTATAAATCAACATTATCAGCGTCTGTGGCGGACTTCTTGGCCCTTTTTACCTCTTCCCGTTTGCGGGAATAAGGACGCTTGAGCCCGTCTACCCGCAGCAAAGGCTGCAAAAACAAATCAAGTTAATATTCCAGGCGGAGTAAAGCACTTGGAAAAAATTGTTAAGTATCTTACCTCAGCCAGAAGGGACAAGATTCATTCCAGGTTGAACATCTCTATCCCAGGGATAGCATTCTTGTCCTTCCTGCTCACCGCCTCCAACATGGCTTTAGCATGCTTCTGGACGTCTGGCCAGCGGGGAGATTGATCTGCACCATAATCAATAGGTGATGAGTGCGAAATTAAGGCAGCACCTATCTGTTGCCGACAGTCTGAGGATAACGTCTACTGGGAGTGGGATTTCACTCGCAAAGGCCACCCCAACTCAGGCGGGGATTCAAATGGGTTCTTACCTTTACAGCCGGCCAAGCGGGAGCCTCTTACAGGCGTGGTGAACCCCCCGGTTGCTGTTAAGGGGTTAGTGAGGTCGAGGCACACACTTCCGCCTATCCTTTCGTTTCGCCCCCCTATCCGCATCTTTTGGTTCTCGGCTGAGGCGCCAGGAGTTAGGGCGGAGGCTGACTTTTTGGTCTTGTTAGGGGTGGAGGCGGATTCCTCCCTGGCCTGTTTCAGATCTTTCTCAAACGTCTTTCCTACCTCTCCCCCCTGTGAAAATTACCAAGTTAAAGTTAGCATCCGGAGAAAGTAAACTTTGAGGCCAACCTAAGAAAGAGTCAAGCGTTCTTTACTTAGGCCCTGACTGTGGCCGCCTGTTTTTCCGCAAGCTCTTTGCGGATGGTTGTAGAGGACCGTTTAGGTGTCTTCTCCGTATGCAAAATGCTTAAAGCTTCTTCTGCAAAAAAGAAAAAGATTGGTCAATATATCATCAATCAATTCTGATACAAAAGTACTACAGGCAGATGTGAACTTAGGCGCATACGTTTGGTAAACATGTTTCCTAGCCCGCAGGCGGCTAAGAAGCATGCGTCCCTGAACCAGGCGCTCTTTGGGATCCAGTTCTTGGGGACTTTTATTGTCTCCCCGGTTGACAAGGTTGCGTCTATGAGGCCGAAAAAGTCTGCCTCAATTATTTTGTCAAAGTCCTCATCAGAGATCCGGGAAAGAGCGCACTTACGGCCCATCAGGTCGGGCTTCTTATTGTATTAGCGGAACTCGTAGTTTTCTCACTTGCTAGGAGCCGACAGCTGGTATAACCTGTGCTTCCAGCCGTCAAATTTTGATACCTTGTCCAAGGACATCATGTATTGGGGATACGTGGTTAAAGTGTACCACGCCCTCCAACCACCTAGGCTTCGGCAAAGATAATGCATCTTAGCAAAAGCTTCCCAGCCGGGATGGAGCCCCTAGAGTTCACAGGCGTCAACATACCCCAAGATGTTTGCCCAAGAATTGGGGGTAAGTTGCCAGACTCCGAGGCCGTAACCTCTCAAGATTGCCTTCACCGCCTGGTGAAGGGGAAAGCGAAGACCGGCCTTGAACGCCGCCTCAAAACAGCCGAAGTAGCTGTTGGCGTTCTGTTAATCGTCTTCCCAGGCGATGGTGCCGTCCTCAGGCGGCACTCTGATTTTGTACCCATCTCCTAACGGGTGCATTTGCTTAAACCTCTTCAAGCTGTCCTCCATTTGACTTCTGTCCTTGGCAAAGACGTGAATTTTGAAGGGGTCGTCCTTCTCACTCCACTTCTTCCTCTCCTCCTCCTCGCTATCCTCAAGCGGTGGCAAGTCGTCACTACTCTCAGAAGTGGAGGCGGAGCTGTCACTCTCCGTCTCCCCCTCAATTTGTGGTAAAGGAGCTGAGACGGCTTTGTAACCGTCCTGGTCGCATTATTCTAAAAAGGAATCTGCGGGAGTCGAAGGGGCATGCGGAGGGGATCTCTCCAGAGCCGTCTGGGTTCTCTGACCAGACGCATCTCCCTCAGGCGTTTGGCCGCCTGAGCCCTCGCTTCGGTAATTCGGATCGACAGCCGTCTGCATAGCCCGAGCCATTGTGTCCTGCACAGACACATAAATGGTTGGAATCCAAGCTAAAGGGTGGTCCCAACACCCCGAGACAGCACTCCCAGTCCTAGACTCAGCCGTCCCCGGTGACCGGCTGGATTCTAACCTAGGCTGTGCCGTGTGTGTTGGTGATGCATCCATTTATTGCAAGAAAAATGTACAAGCGGTGAAACAAGGAAAAGAGCTAAGAGAGGCAGAGATGGTACCTTTAGATTTGATATCTGAAGATAGACGGGTCCGGCTGGGTTGACGAAGAACGAGTTTTCTTGCTTGCGCTTGACTCAAACGGATGACTTCTGCTCTCTCAAAGTTGTCTCTCTTGAAAATTTTTGTAAACGTACAAAATTATGAGGGTAAACAGCTATATATAGAGGGTAAATGCGGGGGCATTCCCGTAATTTACTCGGAAGGTGAACGGTTACTCTTCGGTGGTAAAATTACCACCAACCGGAGCGTGACGCGTGTCACAGATGCCACGTGGTGTGCCACGTTACATCTGTGAGGGGCAAATGTTTAAGGTAATTTTACCCCGCCACGTGGTCTAATCAGGGGATGACACGTGTTAGCCCCCGGATGGCCCAAGGTAGACCTATCCCTGCTTAACACGTGTCACTCTAGAAACCTGGGAGGAATGGCGGCCTTCAGGCCAAATCCTGAGAAAGCCGCAATGCGGCGCAGCCCACCAATGATTAGGGTTCAGTGACCTAATTAGGGGCACAAATCCCGAGGACCCTATAAATAGGGAGATTCCCCTCTTTTGGAGGGCACGTTTTTTACCATTTTATTACAAATTGTCCCTGTGATAGAGACATCTGAGCTTGGAATCCGAGCAGATACCCACTAAATTTCTGCACCTTTTTCTCTCCCTTCAAGTTACTAACTTGTTCGTCGAAGGCGGAGCACCACCCAATCGGTGTCTCCGTTTGTTTTGCAGGTACAGCTCACACCGGATCAGTTTTCGTGTTGTAACTCTCCCGAGGGACAAAAACACCCAAAACAGTTTCAGTGCTTGTAAGTCTTACATATATACTGCCTATGGAAATCATACAATGAATACAATAAAAGGAAAGGAAAATACCTGCTTAATAGTCTCTTGATGGGTGGCCAGAAGCTCTTTGTATTTCTCCTGCATCTCTGACATCTCAGTATGAAGTTTCTCATATTCAGCAACAGTAGGTCCCCCTAATTTTTGTTGCACACATCTGTAAAACAAAAACTATAAAACATTAGGGTAGATGTTCATAATTAAAACAAGCTGTCATAACTTATAATCAATAGTTGTAGAATTATTAATAAAAGCACAGGGCATCTGTTGGGGAGTGGAATGACTGAATGAGCTCCAATCCCATCCAAAAAGAAATACAACCACTCCAAAAGTTGCCATTAAAATAAGTGTCTATAAATGAGTAACCAGGATAAATCCCATAAGAGAATTTAAACGGTAGACAACAAATCCAACAACAAATCATATAATAAACTTGATAAGAAATAATTTGGAAGGGCGTTTAGAATATGGGACCTTGCTAAGAGTCTACTTAGTATCTATGTTCATAAATCTTGCAAGAAACATGAAAATGACAGTAGCAGGTATCTCTTTAAGTGGCAACTTAAACCACACGACATCTTGGATGAGAAATCACCAGAAAGTAAGATCATAAGGAATGTCACTAGTATCAACCTCATTTCAAGGACACTTGAGAACGAAAAAGATAAACAAGAATCAAAACAAATCTTAGTCATATGTCAAGTTATCTTACAAATTTTGTAGAACAAACCAGAAAATAAAGACGAACAACTGCCAAACTACACAACTCGAACTACATTCGTTCCCAAAATCATAACTTTCCTCTAATTCTACCAAGTTAAACCACCATAAACATCATCTCACCAGTACTTTTGAATATAGCAGGCAGTTAATGCAGACGCTAACTTTCTATAATTAGACAACGTATACAGATGATGCTTTTACACATATATCAGTATCAATTGTAATTCTCTGATATAACCAACTTGAATGTTCATCTTCTCTTTGATAAAAAAAAGGCAGGTTATGCATTAATACAATCTTAACAAGTGATTGAATTTCTTCTCAAACCTAAGCGGTCAACTACATACTTTATCTTAAAATCGCAACTATTCATGGAGTCAAATTAAGTATATACCAGTAATACCACCATTTAATCATCCATTTTAATTTTAATATTAATTAATTCCCCCATAGTTCTATAAGATCAAAGATCTTAAGAATCCAGAAATGAATTGAACAACCCATTTCGAATTATTTATTACACAAATTAAACACTTATTCATTTTAAACTCTAATCATCTACCAAATCCCACTAAAATTGATTAAATAATTTAAGTATATACCACCAATTTTATCATTAATCAATTAACCCACAATTCTTAAAATAAAAAATCACAAGATCTGAGATCTTCAACCCTAGAAAAAATAGTCCATTTCAAATCAAAAATTCTACAAATCAATCATTTACTCATTTCATTAAAATCATCACAACATGAATCAAACCCAACAAGATCCAATCCACAAAAACAATAAAACCCCATTTAAGATCTGGAAATTTCCAAAATCAAGGGCAAATCACATATTAAAAAAAAGGGGGATTAAATCGAAAAATGACGAGATAAATGAAATTATACCTGGGTAGAGAAGATGTAGTAAGAACACCAACAAACTTCAGCAACAAGAGTAGTATGAGTCTCAATAAGAACAGCAGTTTGAATAGTCATATGAAGAGATCCAGTCATCTTAGCACCTTTAAAAGGTTGAGAAGGACCAAATTCAGTACGGCAAGACATAAGTCCAGACATTTCGGCTTCAGAAATTCCAAACTTGGAAAAAATTGCCAAACAGAGAAGGAGCACGACAATCCACGCTTAGAAACTTTGCCAGAGATGACAATCCAATCATGAAAAAATTGTCGTTGAAAAAGATGCACGACAATCCATTTTTGGAAATATTGTTAGTTGGGGATGACAATCCAATTTTTGGAAAAATTGTCTTTTAAGAAGAATGCGCGACAATCCGAATTTGAAAATATTGTCGTTTAAGTGCTTGCTTTTAAACTGATACGTTGGTGCTTGTAATGAGCCAGTGTTTTTGGCGCTTAGGCTAAGTGAGACAATTTTTTGTCAAGTCAATCACTTACTACGATCGTAATCAAGCCGACTATTAATCATGTCAATTTTCTTATAGGGGATAACTGGCGTACCGAGGAACCTGAAATTGTTGTATGAGGTCGAAATAACCATTCTGAGAGGCTTCGAGCTCTGTCGCTGCTAAAATATCTCTGGCGTCAAGAATTGGCTCTGTCGCCAGACGCTGAGATCTAGCGCCAGGCACTGAAATCTGTTGCTAAATGCTAGATGTTGTTGTCTGGCGCTGGAGTCTGGTCTTCCCTATTCTGCTCTTTCTGCCGATGTTGCTCGGTTTCGCTTCGAACTTTGAACTTGGTCGTTTCCTTTCAACCAAATCCGCTCAAATCCTTTGTAAATTAAAGCTCTTCATCTCTAATTTACCGATCAATGTAACTCCTCTTATCTTGGAGGAATCTCCTATGTCATATTCGCGGTTTTTTTCGAAAAAAAAATCCAGGAATGTCCTTGCTTGCTGGGATGTACCTGCATTTATATCTTTGATTATAGGACTTTGCTTATCTTTCTTTAGGGTTTTCCTAATGTTTAGTGTTGCTTGACTCATTGACTCAAGGTATAAACTTGACTCACTAATTGGCTGACTCGAGGTTGACTCGATTCGATGTGACTCGTGTGTGCATAGTAAAATTTTCCGTCATTTTTGTGGAGGGTACCGACTTTCTCCCGAAAAAGAAAGACACGAAAAAGAATCGAAATGAAGTTTTTTTTGAAGACGCATGTTGAATGAGCTTAATCAAATGTTGTCTCTCACAGTACAAGGATTTTAACATCTTAGACTATCCTAGTTGACTCGATAATGAATGTATTTAGGTAACTTAGGCGCGGAGGCTATGTACTTCATACTTCGTTATGCAATGATGAATATGAGTGATGTTGACAAGGCATACTTCAACGTTGTGTTAAGATTTCATGACAAAGGGTTCCTAAGGAAAAGTATATTTGGTCATGTATCTGTGCGGTGTGTGAAAGTGACACTAAGGTTAGGCCGCAAAGGCTAAGTGTGTGGGAAAATATTATTTCAAGAAGAGTCAAATGATGGTGACTCTTAGGCTAGGTAAGCTAATGATATAGGGATCAAGCCCACAAGTCTAGCTCTAAATGAATAAGGATGAACACAAGAAATCCCTTGATATGATCACGGTGTAAGTGTGTGAATGTGAATATGAATGCATTTTTATTACGGCCGCACCTCGATGTGAGGTTGCCTACGTATCCGTTAGGAATCAGGCCGAACGTAGCTCTAGCCGAACCTCGCACAAGTGTGTGTATACCTCAAAAAGGTCTTTTTAAGGGTTGTAACGTGGTTAGGCTAAAGGTTTAAGAAGAAGGGGATAAAGGCTCAAGACCCTCGATAAGCACCCAAGGTGTGCAACCTCGCTTTTAAATCTTTATATTTTTATGCTTGAGGCTTTTAACTGTTTTTTTTTATTTTTTTAGCATTTATTTTATTTTTATAAGTGTGGGCAATCCCGATCGTGCGGTCTATCACTCACTTGGCGTTCATGTTTCTAAGGCACGGTACCGAGCACTCGATAAGAGACGCAATATAAGATGTGTTCTTATCAAAGATATTTTCATATCAAAGACATTGGAACACTTGCCCTTTTTCACATTTTTATTTATTTTTTTTATTGCTTATTTTTTGCTATTTAATCTTTTGAATCACTTAAGCTCTTGTGATTGCATAAGTTACACACCATCCCATCCCAAGGTTAGGTAGATATGGGTTGAAAAATGAAAGGTCTATCATTAGACGAGGCTCAAAGTGGTTTATCAAAAAAGGATTGCATATTTGGAAGGTGAAAGGAGATATGATGTGGCTACAAAGGATGTCTCAAATCATTGGTATACCTTGTGCTTAGTTTGACATGGATTTTTTATTTTTAATGCGATGTAATGAAATGATCATATGCAAGGAAATAAATACTCATTTTATTAAATGGGAAAAAGAAAGATTCTACAAAATTAATCTAAGGGAAAAGAAAGGTGCCTATGCTATACTTATTGGGGGAAAGGGTAAATCAAAAAAAGAAATAAAAAAAAGAGGCTATGAAATCTCGTCATTGAAGCTCGCCTCTGTCTTATTTCGTTTGCTTCATCACCACCCAGTCTTCTTGTTAGCTAGAGGCAATGGGATCTTATTTGCTTCTATGAGATCTTGAATGAGATTTTGAAACCTGTAGCATTCATCAGTAGTATGACTATTTCCTCAATGGTACTTGCAATAAGATTTGGGATTCCATCTCGAAGATCGATTTTCTGGCGTTGGATCCTCGGTAGGGCCAATAGGTTTGATTAACCTTCAATCATAGAGACGATCGAAAGCAGCATCGTTGGTCATTCCAATGGGTATGAATTCTCTCCTGGTTTTCCTTTTAGGTCTTTGATTTTCCATGGCTAAGACACCATTATGGTCAAAGGTACTAACATTATTACTAGAGTGGGCGTTTTTGGAAGAAGAAGGATTGTCGTTCTTCTTTCCTTTCCAGCCACTGTGGTTACTATTGTTAGTAGCTTTTTGTTTTGCGAGGTCATCTTCGATTTCCATTCCGATGTCATAAACGGCTTTGAAAGTATTCAAATTAAGTTGACATTTTAAATGCTTCGAATACTTATCTTGGAGATTCTTGATAAACATTCTCACAGATTCTTTTTCGGTGGGCACCTTAATCATCTTAGCGGAAGTTTCCCTCCACTTATTGAAAAAAGAAGTAAAGCCTTCATTCTCTTTTTGTCTTAGCATTTCAAGTTGTCTATAATCGATTTCGACTTGAATGTTACACTTGTATCTATCAATGAAAGCATTTACTATGGACTCCAAGGTAGAGGTTTTCTCTTTGTCAAGGGAGAAGAACCATTGTTGGCAAACGGTTTCAAGAGATGGAGAAAATATAGAGGGAAACACTTTCTTATCAATACCCTTAATACTCATTATTTTTTCAAAAGCTCTTATATGAAAATAAGGGTTATCTGTTGCTTTGAATTTAGGGATGTCAGTGTTATTGAACTTATGCCGAAGAAGTTCCTTGTCCAGCGAGACCCCTTGTGAACTAATGCCTTGGAATTTGTAGTCACTAGATAGCTTGCTCAAGCTCTCTTGCATGAGCTCTATTTGTTGTTGCTCCAAAGGGTCATTGATTTTTAGGGTTAAAGCCTTCAACGCCTCAGTCACATCAGTCAATTGGTTCCTAAGTTCGTTGACTTCTTCTTGAGTTGCCATTATCTTCTTAGCTTTCCTCTTTAGACAAATCGGTTTATCAAAAAGTAAGACTTGAACAAAGGTGTTGTCCTTGATTAATCGCCCTTCTCTCGTTGACCAATTTATGTGGAAATAGAAATTAGGGATATCGACTATTAATTATTTGACTCAAACTCTATTCAACATGCAATGATGAAAGAAGGTAGAAAGAATGAAGGTCGTGATGTGAAGAAAAATTATGTAGATGGAGGGATATGAAGAAATTAGGAATAAAATGTACCCCCAACTCAAATGACGGAAAACCGACTCATGCATGAACCTAAGATATGGTCATGGTGACATGTACAAAGTGTGTGTTAAACTAGTGAGTGTAGGTGACATGTTAAGACTCGTGTCATGACCATGTGGCTAGACTATGTGACTAGACTCAAGCAAAGACTAAGTTAAGACTTCACGTATATGCATTAAACTGGACAGGTTGTGGTATTTTAGTCATAACTTTTGATCCGTGTCTTTGATTGGGATGAAACCAACGCCAAATTAAAGATAAAACTCGGGGCTAAAGATCCATAGTTTTTAAAACTCGTAGTTCTTCCAAGAAATCCATCTAGGACCAAAACAAGTTGACGCTTGTGCAGTATACGAGAATAAAAATCCGAGTTGATTAAAGGAGCTATGACTCGATTTTAGACATATTTATTAGCTCAAATTAATTAATTAATTAATTAAATAAAGTCCTTTAGTCATAAATCAGTTTATTTAATCTTAACACAAGTCAAACAAATGGGTAAGAAAAGAGACATAGAGTATGCACAACCAATAATGCACAATTAGTCAAGTAGGCACAATCATGATGCAATGAGTTTGCAACCTAACCATGGATCTAGTTCTCTAAAGTTCGGGATATGGGTTAGTCAATAGAGGGTCCATGGTTAATTGTCCAGATGCACCGCGCAGAAGCCTAACCGTGAAGGGTTGGCGCGAGTGGATGGGACACCGCAAGTTAAGAAAAACTAGCTTCCATGGTTTAGTGAATTCAACATTCTCGGATGTACCCTTTGTTTCTCAGAGCGTTCAATCAGGTAGATGGAACTTAAATACCCAGCGGGGTTATGTCCATATGTAGAACACATATGGGTTTCAGAAAAGTGAGAAAAACTCAATCAGGAAGTAGGATCGAGCAAAGAGTGCTAAAAACTGGCCAAAATTAGAACGCATATTTCTGGTTCGGTATTGGAAGAACTTGGCGCCAGCAAACAGAGTCCAGCGCCACCTTTTGGCTTTAGCACCTAGCGACAGAAGCTGTTGCCTGGCGCTAACGTCAAAATGTTGGCGCTACTCTTTGTTCGCTAACGGTAGTTCCTACATGCCTCAGCAGCTTTCTGTGCTCGATTAAATTTTCCAGTTTCGCGCAGCATTATTTCGATCCTACGTGTAAAAATCCTATGTTCTAACTCATTACGGATGGTCTTTCCAATGAGATATTTTTTATGCATATGACAATAATGTTAATCAAAATTACGCACATGAAACACTTGGAACTTTTC